GAAACTATTGTAGATGCAAGCATTACAGAAGAAGATGCAAGAGTCGATCTCCTTGCTGTAATGAGGGCTATGATTGTCGCCATTGTCACAATGAAGCCACGGTATTTCTCCAAACACCTTCACTGCCCTCTACACTATGTCAATGATAATGTACAACAGCAAGCACATTTTTGGTTATAGAAAGTGGGGTGAAGGAGGATTTGACCTAACCTAGGATGGACAACATACACTAAACAGGATTTTGTGAGGTTTAAAAATCAAATTCATCCTAACGACATTGGGAAAATCCTAATTTCATTCACTCTTCAAGTTGTATTATGTGCCCAAGTGACTTGGTCGTCAATTACATCATTAATTGAAAACTNGGAAATTCCTAATTTCATTCACTCTTCAAGTTGTATTATGTGCCCAAGTGACTTGGTCGGCAATTGCATCATTAATTGAAAACTTCAATTATATTTTAATCACTTTCAAGTTTCATCAGCATTTCCTTTTCTGCTGTGGGTTCTATAAATCACATTGATTGACCAAGTGCTGGGTAATCAAACTACTATTCTCTGGGGAAGCATTTTAATCGCCAGCTTCTTGATCTAATCAATATAAAGATGCCTGGTTCATGTAATAACTTGTTCATGTCCAGTAGATAAATTTATTGGAGCCTCTTATGAGTATGATCATTTTGTCTCCCTAAATATTTCAATTTTCAGTTATTTTAAATCTAAGATACATGGAAACTTCGAAAATGGCTTGATAGCATATCATTTTCTTCTTGATCCATGGTGACAAAATTATGTTTGTTGATAATTTTCTTAATGAAAAATGCTGAGTGATGGAAGAGTACTCACATCTTTACAGAACCAGAAAGAAGCTTTATAGAAGTAAGACTTTTCTCTTCCATGTTGTTCTCTATTTGTTCAATAGTATTTTGTAAACATTATTGTAGCTGAATGTTTCTTTAGTTTATCATTCACATATTAAAATGAGATATTGGACATGCTAGAAAAAAAATATGTAATCCTTCTACTTCTTGGTAAGATTTGAAAGTAGAATTTTCTGACTTAAATATATATTNAAGATTTGAAAGTAGAATTTTCTGAATTAAATATATATTTTTTAAAGCTACATTTATCTTATGAAAAAATGTACCATCAATTACATCAATGGCACAATGGTAATTCCATGATCATTTCATTTCGTCTACTTTTTTGTCATATTTTCTTGCTTCGATAAATCACTTCCACCAACTATTTGGCACCTGCTGCATCTCACATGTTAGCAAAATCCAAACCATATATTATCAAGGATAGAATTATGCCTTTTATCTCTACTTTTATCCAATAAAATGAGAGCGATCCTTGAAAGTAAGGTACCTTTAATGTGGTTGCATTTTGCCTTTAATTGCATTAATTTCAAGTTCTACACCATTTTTCTTCCTTTTGTGAGGCAGAATCGTACGGCCATTTATATGCTCTGGAACAATTCAAGTATGAAAGTTCTGATTATTAATTTTTATTTATTTACTAGGTACTTGTGGAATTCAGAAATAAAGGTGCAAATCATGTTGAATGGGCAAAGGCTTTAAAGGAGCATTATGTGCCGGGCTTGAGGAATTGTGTGTTTGAAATTTCAACGAATGCTTAATATTGTGGGAACTGTACCTTCCATAATGCCTATGTGTAAGCTCATGTTCTAAAATATTTATATTCCATTTTTATATTTATTATTATTTTGTTTGATTCTCTTCCTGATTACATTGTTATATGCAATGACTTAATAGATAATTTTGTAAACAAATTGAATATGAGGTATGTTGTACACTTTTAGCAAGAACCTATTTTTATTGGATTTTAATTTTTAATCCTCAATAGATCTTTTGTTGCGAGCTTCAGCTTTCGCAAGATAGACGTCCTATTTTTCAAGTGACATTAGGAGCTGATCGGGTTGATCATCGAAAAAGCATTTATTCAGTTATTATTTGTATTTTATTCATGCTTTTTGTTGCATTTAATCCTATTTTTCGCAAGATAGACGTTCTATTTTCAGTTATTATTTCTATTTTATTCATGCTTTCATTCTTACATTTCTGTACGCTTAGTCGAGCTATACATTTATCTACAGGTTCATCTGATGACTCAAATATTACTATAAATGCTTGAGCCTCTCCCAAAGCATTTATCACTAAATTTAGAAAGAAATCTCCCAAAAACTTGCCATCATTTTCAAAAGCAATACAATTTCTTGAAAAATTACTTCTCTTTTGTTCTTCTATAAACCTTCTCA